ATCCTTTTTTGGCTAAATCATTTGTTTGTTAATCTAGTACTTATGGACATTGTCAAAACTCAAAAGCCTGCACCGGGCGGTACCATTCAAAATTGCATACCATGGTTTATATGGTGTTAAAATAGGAATCTATAAATGGAAGTGTCAGAAGCCTTGATTGCCCTTCCATTCAATCTTTTTTTCTTGGGAATTATCTAGTTGGAAAAGTGTGAGGTCTTCTTCGCCTTCTCCTCGAATCCATCCTTTTTTGGCTAAAGCATTTGTTTGGTAATCTAGTACTTATGGACATTGTCAAAATTCAAAAGCGTGATGAGTGTTCGATGTGCTATGATTTGAGTAAAACCATAATCACTTGTTCCATTTCTTTTAATCATTAAGGCAGGATGCCCTGTAATGAAATGATGTAAATTTCTACATCTAGCATTCCTGTGCTTGTAGCATCTATTCTTGGTGTTATATTAAAATTTTCAAATTAATTGCATGTATAAATTGTAACCAAGATTCATATATCTTGGTCTTGCTAGCTCATGTGTGGTAATGTGTAGAACATAGATGCCAAAGGGACTATGTGATCCTAGGTGATCCACCTTTCATATTGAAGAATAAAATCATAAATAATTCAACAATATTAAAAATATATTACATGTTGCATAATTAATATAGACTCGGAAAAGTTAAGAATATGCTAGTATATACATCTCAAACCAAGAAATGTAATGTATTATGCATACAAATATATTTTCATAGCATGCATGAATATTTGTGTTTATACATATTAATGTATGATTGTATATATTCACTCGGTGTTCCAAGCAAGATAGTTAGATGTCCTTAGTCCAACCCGGCATATTTTATGACCTTAAGGCTTGTATACAGTCTTGGTGATCGCCTGTGGCAACACTGGTATAGAATGTTGCAATCAAGGATTTTAATTTCAAATGATATCGTCCATACCGAGCGGTACATACTGGTATGCCGACCGCTTGCTACCGGGCAGTACCATCGATTGGAGCCGTTTCCGCCCCGTTACCATCCAAAATCTGTTGGTAATGGTCGATTTCGACTGTCATTGCCAACTACCGGGCAGTATTAGCCGATGAAGAAGGAAGAAGAGGGAGAAGAAAAGGGAGAACCTGAAGATCCAAGGTCGCTCTCCCTCGATGATCCCGACCCATCGCTGCCCTGCCTTGTCGGATGTCGCAGATGAGATGTCGCCTCCTCGTTTGAGGCAACGTCGCGGGGAGAAGAAATGAGGCGACGTCGCCTCGACGACATCGCCCTTTTTTTTAAACTTTTTTATTATATACACACACACACACACACACACACACACACACACCGAGTGGCACGTCAAAGCGTACCGTTTGGTATGCTCGTACCATACCGAGTTGAGCTCGATACTTCGTTATGGTATGAAATTGTGAACCATGGTTGCAATATCCTGATTTAGGATGTATTAACATGGGTTGATATCTGGTCATGAATAAAACAGTATATTATCCCCTATGGTTTGGCCTTGTTGATAATCTTTGTGATATATTTGTACATTTTTGTAAAGGGTAAATCTATTTATTAATAAAAGTTCAGAGTAAATTATGGCCATCATTTCAGGGAAAATCTTTGTTTCATTAAAACAAGGTAAAACCACAAACGAACAGTCACAATGAGCAAAAAATAAACTACATAGCCTATGCTGAACCATAGATATCCCTTTGACTCAAAATCCTGACCAGAAGAAAAGACAAAAAATTCCATACTTAAAACAAGGTCCTGTCTTTACTTTTCTCTCATTATGAGTGTATAAGATGTCAATCTTAGATGGTCATTTCAATAATATTAAGTAAATATTGCCACTTATGTGTTGTATATTCTATTTAGACATCTAAAGATTCTTTCTGCTTTAATACATGTAGTTTGCGATAAGCATACAAATGGCATCAAGTGCCATTTTTCTGTAAAAGGAGATGCACTTTTTGCATGGAGATTTATGAAACAAAGTAGATGACATATGGAAATGGTTTATGTGAAGAAGAATATTAATGTAGTTACTGGGAACTATGGGACAGGATGGTGAAGTCTGCAGCTTTAGAGTTTTGAATGACCTTGAACCCTATTTACATGAGAGATAAGCCTTTTTCTGGTCTCAATTGTGAAATTATTGATGGAGTAACATGTCATTGGTATCATATTGTAAGTAACAATATGATACATATTTTGTGATTGATGGTGTGTTCCCCTGCCATGCCAAAATATATCTGGTTTTGCCCAATTTTAATTTGAAAGGGATAATAAATCAATATATTATTTCTATCTACATTTATATGAATGAAATTAAATTTGAACTTGCCTTGTACCTCTGGTTTGCCTTTTGTAAACATAGCACAGTTCAGTGTGGAGTGGCACAGCTTGGTTCTCTATGGTCATTCAACAGTAGTTGGACTTATTCATATGCTAGGAGATAGTTCTGGGGCCAAGACAATTTGCAGCTTATTAATTACATACCTTTTGATTAAGAGTTCACCTGTTAATGCTGTCTATTAAGATTTTGTTTGGAATTGATTAACATCGCTTGTACCTTAAAAGTTACAACACTTACAAACATTAAATTTTTGCAATAACTAGAGTATCTTTCTGGAACATTTGGTGCCCATTATTCCAAAAAATTAATTTGGCATACTTATTATTTCAAGTAGTCATATCCTAATTCTAATTTTCTTTTCTTCCCTTAGTTTCTGAAAAACATGCCTTGACTGTAATACATGTTGCAGGTACCATGTCACAAACTTTTTCGCTCCCAGCAGTCGTTTTGGAACCCCAGATGAGCTCAAGTCCTTGATTGACAGAGCTCATGAGCTTGGTCTTCTTGTTCTCATGGATATTGTTCACAGGTGACCTGTAAAATTTTCTACAGAAGATATTAATATTATTAGATGGCTACTTGTTGTTTGGTACCTTCCAATATGTTCTTTTTTTGGTTATGACTTGCACTTGTGCATCACATTTGATCTCAGTTTTCTATGTTGTTGTGCTTCTGCATTTGTTTTCTTAACTTCCTTAAGGGTTTTACTTTTCTTTATGCTATTGGACTTCTAGAGGCTCAAGATATCCAAAGGCATCTATTTTTATTAATTAACTTAAATTTATTTTTCATATCAGGGTTTTCAATTTTGATGTGTATCGTCTGGTACGGGCGATACATATCGGTCCGAGAGGATATTTGTATGCGGACCACCCTCTACCGAGCAGTACCAATGTTTTGATCGATACCGAGGCGTACCGATTGGTATCACCCCAAATTTCGATTGTTACCGAGGCATACCGGTTAATATGCCTTGGCATGGTAGGTGAATGTATTTTTAAGGTTTTAGGATGTACCGTCGGTATGCCCTAATGTACTAATGGTACATACCGGTATGTACTGTACCGAGTAGATCTCGGTACACCGGTATAGATCGGTATTCAAAACCCTATTTCATATATCATTAAAGTGGTACAACAATGATGGTGATGAAGGTTAAATGTGCCTGTGAGATAGTTGAGGCAAAGGTTAAATGTACAAGTAAATGGAAGGCTGTTAAACTCCACATGGAATTTTAGGATTAAAGACATTTCAAAATTCCTTATCCGGCAACTTGTATACTTAGTGATGCAAGTATTTGATTCCACAAGAAGCTTGATATGTAGTATGACTTGCAGGCTCCTGCTTAGTAAAAACATGAATATATATTGTGTGCAAATCCCAATATTACAGAGTTCATTGCATTAAATAGGCTAATTTTTACAATAGATGCTCTCCAAAAGCAAGTGGTTCTCCATTTTCTTCAATTTTTATTATAGATCCAAGTCGTAGTTATTTTCTTCGCTTGCAATGACATACTATATGCTGTTAGCACCAGTGATAGTTTTTAGAGTGTTGGTTTTAGTGCTAGGCCATTGGTTATTTGGTTTTATTTAGGCCCTATTTCTATTAGAGGATTCAGTTAATTTTAAAAGAAAAGAAAAGAGGAAGTTGGAGTAGTTATAATTTTAGGCAATATTATTATGTTATTTTAACCCTAATTATGACAGTGATGACTTGTAACATTTCGAAAATAGCATAATCAGTGAAATACATAGATTGCTATTTTGTATCATGGTCATCTAATTATCTTTGGAATTTGAGTTTGACATAGCCTTTTCTTTGAGAAGAACCGGTGTTTTCAACAGATTTTATCTAAATCATAAAATTGTATACAGTTGTACAAGAAGAGCCATTTGACTGCAATAAGATGTTGCAGTTCCAAATAATTGCATAAGCACCCTTAACAGGTCTGTCCCTTTTTGGCTTGGTTTAGCTTGAAGTTCAATCCATGATTGCAGGTTTTGTCATGAATAAGCAGTTTTTTTGCAGGCATTTCTTGATGGTGATTTTGATTTGACGGTTGCAAGTCTATGTATTTGTTCACTTAAATCAGAATATTTTAGAATCTCCATTATTCTACACTGGAGATGATGTACTTACCATCCTAGGAAACTAGATTCTCAATTAGTGAATTATAGAAATTTGTAGGTCATTCTGTTCAACTGGAATCATTTTCATATATCACCAAAAAGTTGACGAAGATCATTTGGGAGGTTTGGGGAAGGGGGAAAGAAAAAGTGATTTTTCCTGGTGCTTGAACTTATATGTTTGCTATGGCATACTTGAGGAGACATAACCATGCATGGCATGCTCGTATAACTATTTTATCCATCTAAAAGAACTATCTGATACTTGGGCAAAAGGTGAACCTAATGAATCTCTAACATGCTCTATAACAAATGTATCTCTAACCATGCATGGCATGTATTTGCAAGTTTTATGTACTTATATTTATAATATTCATGTATATGCCACCGTCAAATTTATGGCATAACATTTTTTTATTGTCCTTGTTATGCATTCATCTTAAGAAACAAACATTCCTTTTAACTTGTTTCATTTTGTATCCAGTCATGCGTCAAACAATGTGCTTGATGGACTGAATCAGTTTGATGGTACTGATTCACATTATTTCCATTCTGGCTCACGTGGTCATCATTGGATGTGGGATTCCCGCCTTTTTAACTATGGAAGTTGGGAAGTATGGAACAAACTTCTCAATTTTCGACACTTATTTTGCTTCTTTAAATTGATTACTTTAATATTCTTGCTTCCTTTATTTAGGTTGTAAGATTTCTATTATCCAATGCGAGATGGTGGCTGGAGGAGTACAAGTTTGATGGGTTTAGATTTGATGGTGTGACCTCAATGATGTACACTCATCATGGACTTGCGGTTAGATGATTTTTAATGAATTATGGTTTTCTTGATCTTTTAACTGAATACGATGCTGATTAATTTTCTTCAATTTGTTGTAATACTGCAACATCTGAAGTAGTGCTAATGATTAAAATTAGAGCATTTTAACATATGTCCATGCTGCAGAATTCTGAGATTATTGTTTTACAACTTAGTAAATGTCACAGTGACTTAAAAACTAAATTGTTTATCTATATCCATCTGATACAGGAAATCATTACCTAGGAATTCTCTGTAAAAGAATTCACATTAATTGCTAAAATTCTTCTTTTGTGTTGTTGCTTTTTTATTCCCTGTTTATTTCAGGTAGGTTTTACTGGGAGTTACAATGAATACTTTGGATATGCTACTGATATGGATGCAATGGTTTACTTGATGCTGGTAAATGACATGATCCATGGGCTTTATCCAGAGGCTGTTGCTATTGGTGAAGATGTAAGTGGAACTTTGAAGATCCTCGAAACATGTTTTGTTTTTGAATATTAGAAGTCATTGGAAGTGCAAGATGATTGATCTTTCGCCAGTGAATTTTCATAATATCTCTTTGGTTTAAGATATATATTGAAGAAGATCGATTTAGTTTTAGAAATCTGGCATAAACATTGTAGGCACTTCTATTCTTTTACTTTTTTATGTTGATTGGGCTATTATGTGGATGTCCTTAATCATATGTTTTTTGTTTCAGATGATTCAGACATTGTTATTCATGGTTTCTCATCCACATGTTTTACTTATATTAACATCTCATAATGATTGCATAACAAATCGTTTACTTGAATAGGTTAGTGGAATGCCAACTTTCTGCATCCCTGTACAAGATGGTGGTGTCGGATTTGACTATCGCCTTCATATGGCTATTCCAGATAAATGGATTGAGATTATGAAGTAAGTAATTGGAAATTCATATATAAAATCCTTCTGTTGTTGAGAATTTCAGGTTCATGTGTTTACTCTTTGTTGACTATGAGAGATTCATTTCTATGCTTTTATTATGTCCATAATTACCCTATGCTGCTCATTAGTAAGTTGATAGTGGATTGTTAATAGTAGCTTCCTATGCTGTCCAACCAAAAAATTGATTTATAAAACTGCATAAAAGATCAGATGGCACATTTTACTGTGTTGTCACTATGAAGAATATATTATTATACCTGAATTTTGAACTAAAAATTAGTCATGGTCCACTGACTACGATACACATTCAAACAGTATGATTTCTCTTGATGAAAGGCATAACACTTATTTGTCTGGTTCAGGTGGACATATTGCATTTTTTTTAGTGTTATGATTAAACATCTTGCACTTAGGCACCTTCTAGTACATTTTATAAACAGATTTGAGCGATGAGATTGACTAATTAATGTTGATGCACAACAGAATGCAAGAATATTTTATTCCATGCTATTATGTTTGTTGTTGGTTTAATTTTACTGTTCTTAGATTTACTATACTTGCACCACCTAGTGACAAATCTCTAATTTCAATCATACTAATATGCTATTTTAAGAAGTTTAGTGGTTCAATAAGCTCCCACAGTCAAACGTCCAATATCATTTTCACTGTTTCTTGTCATGGCCTTTAGCATACAACTTCATATAGATACATCTTTCCTCATACTTGAACTGACAAATTTCAGCCTCCATGACAGACTTATTTTCTTGTGATTAAGTTATTAATAAGCTTAAATTATGTGTTTGAAGACTGAAAGTGAGTTCTTTAATGATTTATTCAGGTTAAAGGATGAAGACTGGAAGATGGGTGATATTGTTCACACTCTCACTAACAGGAGGTGGTTAGAGAAATGTGTGGCTTATGCTGAAAGCCATGACCAAGCTCTTGTTGGTGATAAGACGATTGCATTCTGGTTAATGGACAAGGTTACTATAAAATCACCTCCATCAATATTCCATCCTTTCTGTAATGGAATTTGTATACTGACTTAGCAAGGATTTCTTTTTCTGGCATGTTTTTTCCTATAACTGAAGTTGCATTTAGAAACAAGTGAACATTCACCACTTCAAAAATTTACTTACATGAATGGTCAAACCAAGAAATTCAATACCAGGTACTGAACCCTTACTGGTCCAGGCTCAGACCAATACAGGTCCAAGCCATACCAGCGTGCCAACAAACCAAATTCCAACAAAAAGACTGAAAATCAGCCAGAAATTTAAAAATCCTAATTCAGGGTTCTTTTTTACTCCTTGTCTTTGCATATACAATCAAATCAAACAATGATAAAGTGAATCGAAAGCAGAATTTAAAGAAATGAGTTATCAGTATCTTTTCTCTAAGGTCCCATCAAAGTCAAATCTGTGACATATTTTCCTTTCATTCCTTCATCTAGCCTTCCAAAACTTGAAACCTTGTTTACTTTACAGTCAATTTAAATGCTTCCTCATCTCTCAATTAAAGAGAAAAGAGTGTAGATGTCTAATCATGTGTCCATCAAGCTCTCTATATAATTAGCATCATGGATCTTGTCGGACACATCAACCAACTTGGAAAACTACTCTTCTGTTGTAATAAATAAGAAAGTTGATGATGGTCTTACTTGTTTGTACATCAATATAACATCATAGAGGTCTCATTACTTCTTAAATGATTTAATCCAATCTCTTATCTCTTAGACCTCATCTAGATAGGTGTCATCTATCTTCCTACAGTTAAGAGGTTGTATGTGGAGACCTGCCTTCTTAATGGATGATATTATGCTCCGATGGTAAGGACCTTGGGTTGTATAGGTCGAGATCCTATGAGAGTTGAACACCTTACAATAGCTTTTCCAATGTTCTCCTTCGTGTAGGGATTATGAGTCCATTGTTTGTTTTGCTATCTAGGTAAGCAGTAGGATTCAACTCAATGACATCAGGAGCTACCCTCCTAGCAAGTCCTATAATAAATCCTCATAGTTCAGATTGTCTCATGCACCCTATCCTGTCCAACTGAGGAGGGATAGTCGGCTACCAAATGTTAGGACTCCTACCCAATCCCTATGCACTAGTAGAAGTGGTGGTTCTCTGTCAATAATCCACTGAACTAGCTCAACACATTGCCACTACTGTTGCTACTGTCATACTCATACTGTGAGTTGACAAGCCGATGTCTCATTGCTTTGTCGTGTATAGTTGACCCGGGCTCTGAGGCCCAGGTCAACACCATTGTGATGATCCTCGTATTGGTCATAAACCTGCTACTTTTATGACATGCATCTCAGATTTTTTGTTTGTCTTCTCTAGCAGTCATTGGAATATCTACCAATCAAATGCTGCTTCAGATAGGTTATTCCTCTGTTCCTACCAATATAGTCACAATGGATGCACTGTCAATAATGGTGTTGCTTCATGCGATGGGTGTGTTGCCATGTTGGATCGGAAGTTGATTGATTTGGAGACATTTTCCAAGAAAAAAATTCAACATATGATCAGATCTGCACACTCATAATTGCACCAAATTTAGATTCACTAAGATCTAGCCTAGATTCACATGAATCTACACTCAATCCATGAAAAAATAGGTTGGATCTGATTGGATCAGAGCTAGATACACTATAATCATGGCTAGATCTGACGAACAGACTAAGCCTACATTGGGTGGATCTAGTCTAGATCTGAATGGATCAAGCCATGATCCATTTCACTCAAACCAAAGATAGATTTGAATGGATGTTCCCTAGGGTTGATCTCAATTGATCCATTTGGATCAAACTCGTGATAGGTTCGAATAGATCAACACTACCTTAACTGGGATTACCCAAGGCATGGGACACACAAGCGATATTCGTCCATAGTTGGGCAGCCTCAACAGGGTGGGCTTACCGTCTGATACAAGTCGTGCCAAGTCCGGTAAGGGTTGGTACAGGCTGTAAGCCTGGTACAACCCTTAAATGGGGTGGTACAAGCTTGTTGTACCTGATGGCACTAGCTCATACTGTGTCTATACAGTCTGATTCTCATTGATCTGCTTACCAGTTCCCTATCGGACTGGTAAATATTGCCATTACCTTATAGAGCGGTATTGAAACCATTGGTCAAACTGCCTTTGGTTACTAGTATTTGACTGTATAGACTAAGTACTTTGGTATGACAATTCTTGAGGTTTTAGTTACTTAAAACTGTAAAATATTGGAAGTGGAACAGTTGTATGAAGTGGGGCCTGTCAATGTCCTGTTAACTTGCATGGTTTTACTTCTTTCCCTTAGTGTAAGCCTCATTTTTCTCCATATTTTCATGTTAGATGGCAAGACATCGCTGGTAATGGGTATTGCACATTATATTGATACCAAATAAAGAGTATCATAGCCATAAAATGGCCAACCAAATTCTTTTTTTCGTTTGTATTTATGAGAAATTACATGTTTCCTACACCAACATAAGTGTTATTTTCATGTGTCTTTGGAGTGAATATTGAAGATAATTTATAATACTTTATAGCAAGGAGTGTTTTGGGTATTGGACCAGTGGACCCATTTCAGTGATCTGGTCAGACAGGTACATAAAAATCGTTACTGATATACTGACACAGTACACCAGTACATAACAGTGTTTCGAAGATGAAGAAGGAGAAGAGGAAGACACGGTGGATGAGGAAGAGGAGAAGGAAGAAGAGGAGGAGGAAGGAGGAAGAGGAAGAAAATAGGAGAGGCGGTGGAGGAAGAAGGAAGAAGAGGAAGCAATGGATAAGAAGAAGGAAGAGGAGGACGAGATGACGAACGATAGTGACAGTGTTAGTGGCAAGAAGAGGGCTCGCAAATCGCCGTTTAAGCCGTAGGTTCTTTTTTATATTGAATTGGACTGGACCACATGAAACAAAAGCGGTCTGCACGCGGGTCTACGCCCAGACGAGTACGTACCACTCATTTCTTACTGTTTTGGATGTTACGACAGTCCTTGATTTGTAGCTTCAGTTTGTCGTCAAAAGTTGATTTCATACTTATGGGTTGTTGTCTAAGCTGATTCTGGCTTTCACAGTGATGATAGAGATGGTAAAGGAAATCTGTTCATAGCCTTGGTTTCTCATATTAGCTAAAACTCTTTAATGTTACGTGTATGCCTAGCTCCCCTTCATAGTAATAATTTCAGTCTCAAACATCCTGTTACTTCTATTTTCTAATATCTGTGTATGTTGACTAAGTCTGAGTGCTGCACTGGGAGGAGCTTCATTCATTGGGCAGTCCTTAATTTTGAAAATAAAAAAAACATTGCTTATTATATGAGTCCACAACATTGTGTGATTAACCCATGAAGCATGGCTGAAGTTTAGGTGATCCATATAACTTTGGTAAAAAATTTATCAGGATATCCTATTTTATTTTTAATGTACTCATCACTTGAAACTGATCCATTGATACTCTAAATGCACTATACTATCATCGAATATAATCAAGCAATATCTTGTGCTGAAGTCAAAAGAAGATACAAAAGGATATTAACAGATTATGTAAAGTACAAAGATCATATGATATTTTCTTGCCACAGTTTTGATATCTTCATTATGCTTTTCATCAGTGATTGAAAGAGGCGCTCGGGCGCTCGGGCGAGGCGAGGCGAGGCCCGAGCTCCTCGCTAATGTCCCAGGCGGCGCGCTTCAAACAAGCGTCGCCTGGGCGCTCGCCCGAGCCCAAGCGCTGGGCGCTTCGGGCGAGCACCTGGGTAAACCAAGTGATCGAACCAGGATTTTAGGTCTGGTTCGGTCCTGGTTCGGTTGTTAGTTGGTTCAATCGAACCAACTAAAATCGATATAACCCTTACCCAACCCTAACTCGCTGCCGCTCCCGATCTCGCTGCTCGTCGCTCCCGCTCCCGCTGCTCGCGCCTCCCGCGAACCCTCCAGCTTCTCGCGCCTCCCGCGAGCCCTCCCGCTGCTCGCGACTCCCGCGAGCCCTCCCGCTGCTCGCGCCTCCTGCGAGCCCTCCCGCGAGCCTTCCCTCTGCTCGCGACTCCCGCTGCTCATGCCTCTCGCGAGCCCTCCAACTGCTCGCGCCTCCCGCGAGCCCTCTCGCTGCTCGCGCCTCCCGCGAGCCTTCCCTCTACTCGCGACTCCCGCTGCTCGCGCCTCCCGCGAGCCCTCCTAATTATTTTTATTTAAAATTTTAAATAATTATATTTATTAATTATATTATATATTTTTATATTTTAGTGCCTCGCTTAACTCGAGCGAGCGCCTAGCGCCTCGGGCGTTTTTGGACCTTGGCGCCTAGCGCTTTTTAAATCACTGCTTTTCATATTCAATTGTGCGGGTCATGGTCGATTTCATCTTTATTCTGCTTTATACTTGTCACTGCATGCATGTTTTCTTCACTATAAGTCATTAATTGATGAACAGCAGAAGAAAGTATTGAATTTATCTTTGACGGCTAAAAATGAACTACATTGGCATTTCATTTCACAGACTAAGTTGTCTGACTATCACTTATGTAGGATATGTATGATTTTATGGCACTGGATTTACCGTCAACTCCCAGGATAGATCGTGGAATAGCTCTGCACAAAATGATTAGATTAATCACAATGGGTTTAGGTGGTGAAGGATATCTAAACTTTATGGGAAATGAATTTGGGCATCCAGGTAAAATATGCTACATTGTTTGAATCATTTTATGATTTCAACTTCACTGGTATCTTATATCGATTGCTTAGAAATTTCAGGTGCACTCACTGATTGACATGGTTTTTTTTCTTCAATTTAATTTATTGTACATTGCAGAATGGATAGATTTTCCAAGAGGAGATCAACGACTTCCAAACGGGAAGGTGATTTCAGGGAACAATTACAGTTACGATAAGTGCCGTCGTAGATTTGATCTAGTAAGTTAAGAAGATGATGTTTAGTTTTTATTTCTACTCTTGGTTTTTCATTTCTTGTGATATGACACCTGAAATTGCATTAGTAATGTAAAGGTGTTAAACCATGACAGGTCATTTTGTTGGAAATCACAACATAGCTAACAATCATTTGGTACAGATTAGGCAGTCCATTATTTTTATATACTTGAAGCATAATTAGAAATACTACCATGTGTATATCAATCTATTGTTGACTACTCTCAACATCATTAATAGAAATATCAAGTCTTATTTATTTTTCACCTACTTGTATTTTATCAGGACAAACCAATTTTGTTCTGATACATTTTTTGCTTTGAGAATATTTCTCAAATATATAGTAGCCACCACTCATATTAAGCTGATGTTACCTTCATGAACTTGGCAAGAAAAAGCATGCAGGACTACACAAATCTGCTTACAATCTATAAACTGCCATGTCATTAATCTGAAGAAATTTATCAGAAGGTCCTTGTATAGTTGTATATACTTAAAGTTGTACCGTAAATGTAAGTTCATGGATGCTTCTGAAGGTTTCTACATATGTTAGGACGCTGACATGCCAATGTACATCAGAGGTAGGTATTTTCTGCTTATGGAAGATAATTCTATTTCCTGTTCTGAATTTACTTTGAGCATTAGCTGCATCTTGATAGGTTGTCTAGACTCCACAGGTATATTAGATTTACCCAAATTCACTTTTATTTACTAACATTTTCATTTAGGTTCTACAAATATGATTTTTATTGGGATGCAATGCTAATATAATATCTTCATAAGCTGCTTATCATCACACTTAACATCCATTGCTTTTTAACAGGGAGACGCAGAGTATCTCAGGTATCGGGGAATGCAAGAATTTGATCAAGCAATGCAACATCTCGAGGAGGAATATGGTGTATGCACTAATCTATTCTCGGAAGCTTTACAGTTTTTATCAAAACTGATTAAATGGTCCAGGAGGAACCATTTTGTGAATTATGGACTAGCTTGTTCCTCACCATATTTTTATATCATTCAGAAATTGGTAAAAGAAATTACAGGATGTGATTTGTCAGACATATTTCAAATTAGTCTGTTTTATGCTTTTCCATTTCAGGTCTCACTATGATTTTATTAAACAACTTCTTGTATATTTTCATGGATGCATGGATATTCTAATTTCAAATTAGTGATGCTTCAAAATGCCATGATTGCAGGGAAAAAGAATATTCTGCAAGGACATTAAGACAAACATATCTACTAGTGTTTTTGTGGCTCCCTGATCTTAAGTTCAACGGTGCTATGTAGTTGAACAACAAATTTGTAACTGATCAATTAAATGGCACACAAAGAAACAATATCTTTTTGATAATTCGACAAACTTCAATTTGAACAATTTAACATGTAAATGGCAGAAGCATTGTCTACATCTGCATCGAAAAGTAATTGATTGTTTGGTCAATGAGAAGTTAGATCCCTTATTCCTTTTTATTTCTAAGATACTAATTCTTCGATGAAGATTTTTTGACATTCTGTTTCCAGATTATCACCAGAAAATCATTGCATGACACCTTTTTCTTCATTGCAAGGTCATTTTTATTATCTGAATAATGTCTAACTCTAAAGTGAATATTATTGCAGTTCATGACATCAGACCACCAATATATTTCACGGAAAGATGAACGGGATAAGATTATTGTTTTTGAACGAGGTGACATGGTATTTGTTTTCAATTTTCATTGGACTAACAGCTATTTCGACTACCGGGTTGGTTGCTTAAAGCCTGGAAAATACAAGGTACACCTTTCAAGATGGCTTTCTAGTTGTCTATGCTAACATTTCTGTCTGTTATCTAGACTTAAATTACTTATTAAATAAGGTTTTGTTCAGCTTCAAATTCAACTTATTTGAAGCTACTCTGTGTTGTCGTAATTAGTGAAATTTGACATTCATGGCTTCATCTTTGGAAAAGCTCTCACTGCATGCAGGGGTATGCCTACATATGGGGACACATATTCCGTGGCCCTACATTGATAGCAGCCGTTTCAATTGGACCATTCTCATATTTTATTTGTGGTTGGAGGCTGATTAGTAGCTTAACTATAGTATATAACAAATTATGTACTGCTTCCTGAGACTTGTTGGATGGCCAAGTGTTTATTCATTTACATCTGCACTAATTTCTGAGGTTTATTGAAGTGTCTCTGGGATGTAAATGTCTTTTGTAGTGAGAATTTTGGATTTTTTGTCTCAGTAGGCTATCTAGACTTTTTGTGCATAAACAACCTTTAAGGATATGTACGTTGTGGTGTGAATGGAGCCTAGTTAACTGATTACCTAGTGCAGAACTTGCCTGGGTTCTTTGCCAATGGAACCCTAAAATAATTAAGCTTATCAATGGATCCTGAATTACATCGGGAAGTTCATTAATTTTACTCTTGCATTTGACTAGTTTCTAGTCTGGAATATGACAAGTAAAACAACAATTTTTAAATTAAAATTATATCAATGTGATTGTTGCTTATGGTCGGTTCATGTATAGTATCTCTGGGATGACCTTCAATCTTTCTAATTAATTGTGTATTGATTATAAGTTAAGAATCCACTTTAGAATATGTTATCTGATAATTATCATGTGTGGATTTAAGTATGGATATAGTAGCGCTTATCAAATTTGTTTTGATCCATACAGCAGTTGTTGGATTCAGATCCAAATTGCCAAGTGGACCCTTAGTCTGAAAATAAAAGCCCTATAAGATGATATATACATTTCACTTTTGATGAGGAATATGCAACAATGGAAATCATCCCGAACATGATCATACTGAGGCATAGAAATCCATGTTCTTTTACCTGTTAATTTGGACAATGAACATTTCTCCAGTTTTACCATTATATTATGTTTTCCATTAAAAAATTGTCACAATCTGTTAACTTCGTTAGATCAAGTGAACAGTAGTTATTGGTTATTAGTCTTAGCGCACTTTTAATGTGGGACTAAATTGGGTGATACACGGGAAATACGAATTCATTGAAATAACCTAAATATGCTGAGAGTGATGGAAACAAGTACTTTGCTCGGTTAGTAAACTGAAATATGCTCTGGATGCTGCTTGACACATTTCCAAGAACAAGATGGTGATAAGGACAAGTTGTGACTTGATAAGGAGACATACATTTAAACAAGTTGTTCTGGTCGAATATGTCTAAAAGATGGAAGCAACAAAAGATTGTCCAGATAGTTGACCAGGTAACATGATAAGATTGTCACCCAAAAAGACCTTTCAAGTTTCGAAGTTTTGGTTAGTTACTGAGCCTTAAACATCTTAATGATGATCTTCAGTCAATGGAATATTCAGACCTAACAAAGCAGACTAGTGGCATCATTATCGACACAGTTTTGGAGCTCATCCACATGCTGAAAGAATCATTCCTGATCCAGTTTTTTACTTATAATTTAGGGAATTAGTATCATTCAGTCATCTATCTCACTACTAGTGTTGACATCCTTAATTGAATTACTGATGCTTCTCAGATGCTTCTGATTTTTATTTGAGTCTCAGTCTTGCACTTACCTTTTTGGCTTGGGATATAGTCTATAATGTAGTTAGGTGTCATTAACTTGACTATTGCTGAGAGTGGCCTGACAGAAAAATAAGTTAAAAAATAATAACCACAAATGATGGTATACCATGTAACTAAGCTTTCAACACTTGTCCTTTTCAGGCTCGTGGAACTCAAGTTTAAGCAGTTTTAGGAGAGGCCAAGTTTATGGTTTTAGTTGAAAATTTTGTTAAAAGAAAAAACAAAATCAATAGTGCTTAAAGGATAAAAGCTTCCTCTTCAGCCTGAACTTGAACTTTTGTTAAGGCTTACAACTTACAGCCATTATCTTTACTTCATCATGCTAGGGAATTACCATTCTATGGAAATAATGCAAATGCAGTTGAAATAACTTAATCTCAATACTCAATACATTGAAAATTTTAGAGCAAGTTTTGCTGATATAGTGACACTACTGTACAATGTGCTTCTAAGTTTGAAGGGAAGTGTATTAAAATAATTTGCATAGAATAGTGTTTGAGTTTGACTCAAAGGATAGTAAGAATAAATTCCACAATTTTTAATATTTCTAATTCATGCATGCTGGATGATTAATCAGAAAATAGAATGTGGTTAGGTCAAGACTGCACAATAAAAGTTAACCAAGGCGTAAAATAATATGCTGTAGTTTCGATTTCACTACTTTCTGAGTTCTGCTGCAGTTGCTGTTGCATAACAATAGGCCAGTATTTAGAATCTGGCTCTAATGTTCTCAACAAAGATGGTGTATCTAGCTTTTAGTTTATTCACTTGTACCTTTTGGTTCATCTAAATTGATTGCTTGTTGTGAAGACAAATATGATTAAACTGCACCATTTTCCACTTTAATTGATTAAAAGTTAAGCCTCTCCTTACCAATACCAATATAATTGGCTACCATGTAGTGTGCTGGTAACCCTCCAGCTGGCATGATGCAGCACTAGACCTATGTCGACTGGCACAAGCCTCATTCCTGGCAAAAGTTATGTTGAAACAACCACTGGACCTTAGCATCAATGAGTTCTGTGCTGGCATGGTTCGATAAAATTATGGGCTAACCTTGGCAATTTGAACTGCCAACCATATGGGTATATATTTTTGTAGAAGTAAAAATGAGAAAGCTTTTTGTGCCATGTTATGAACTTTCTCTGTAAACTTGGTCTGCTGGTCTTACAAATATTCTACATGATTGTTCATCATGGTTGCATTTGTATGGCATAAGCCATCTATGAAAGCTTCTACCGTTCACCCTGTTCCTAAAGTTAGATCGACTCATTACTTAGATTGGTGCAAGTACTGATGTACTGATTCTTTTTCAGGTGGTTTTGGATTCTGATGATAAACTGTTTGGGGGATTCAATCGAATTGATCATACCGCAGAGTACTTCAGCACTGTAAGACTTTGCTTATGACTTGTTTGGGTGAATTCTAATGTCTCAGATATGACCTTCGGTATCACTGGTTATCATGCAGGATGGTTTGTATGACAACAGGCCTTTCTCTTTCTCAGTGTATGCACCAAGTAGAACCGCAGTTGTTTATGCTCTCTCTGAGGACTGATGATGATTGTTGAAGTCACGAAAATGCTCAAGAGATGGCAAATGAGAGGCTGGTTGGTTTCATCGGTCTCAAAATCCAAGCTGCTGAAATGAAAAATAAAAAATGCAATTGCAGCTAATGCTTTTGATCATTTTCTGCCTGCATTGGAAGCTCTAATTACATGCTAATTCTGATTATCAAGTAGCCACCATTTCGGATAGATAATTTAAAACTTCAACGGTAGGGCTGGCCGAGATCCTTCTCTCAGCATCGGTATGCTCTATTGCTTTGTGACTCTGTCAGCTTAAAATAAGTAGTTGCGGATGCCTTGGCATTATGTATATGCCATCCTTGTGTTCTGTTTTGTTTGCCGTCTGCTATGATTCCGTTGTCTGCTAGATTGCAGTTTCTCTTTTGCTTTCAACATGTACAAAGCTCAACAAGCAGGCGGTTCAATAAGCTACAATAAATTACTTGCTCTCCAAGATTGAATGCATGGTCGACTCTCAAATAGTTTTAATCTCTTGTTCCTACCAGCTCTCTGTTTATGTGCTCGAATTGTGTTATCTAGATTAGCTGTCAATATTCACAACCTGCTGCTACTGCATCTGTTTAATCAACCGAACTACTTTTATCTCAAAAGTATGTTCTTTAGAATGGGAACTTTTCCCAGTTGTGGTCGTAGAAGCAGCTTATCGAGTTATTACCCTGTAAAGATTCTTTTTCCCTCAAATCCCAACTCGGTTTTTTGCGGCTACAATTTCCCAACGACGGCTGCAGTTCCATCCTACTAAACTCGACCACATTAGCCACAACTCTAAGCTCTCTCTCTCTCTCTCTCTCTCTCTCTCTCTCTCTCTTAGATTTAAAATGTAAAAGGGGTTGTGACATTGGCATTGTTAGAAATAATACGATGCACAGAACAAAATTCTCATCACTGCACTTTCTTACACTTGCATCTGATGGACATGAAACGGATACTACTAGTACAATAAAACCTAGTGCATCAAAATATATTTCATCAACCATATCTCGAAGGACATTTAAATGATCATTCATGATGGTTCCAAGGGGGTTGCAATGAGGTGCAAACCACTTGAAACTTTCATTATAATCGCCAAATATGATACTAATACTCCTTTTTTTTTTTTTGTTCTATGATGATTTATGGATATTTTATATTGAACCTGACATGTTATCAATTTGAATATATTGTTTATTGAAGTTTCTCCAAACCACCTAAAAGTTTTACTATATGACTCAAATGTGATATTAATACTTTAATTTGTTTTATTTTAGGATGATTTTATGGGTATTATTTATCGAGTGTCCTTTATTTTTTTTCCGAGTATGATGACATAAATTTCTCTAAACCACTTGAAACATTCACCATTTGAGTCAAATATGACACTAATATTCTTTTCAATATTTTTTCGATTTTAGAATACATTTTATGTCAAATTTATTGTATTTTTAGGTTGAATATATAGTTGAGTGTATTTCAACCTATCTTCATGTGTAATGACAGAAACTCTCTGTAAACAAAGGTAAAATTTTTACCAAAATAGTCAAGTATAATACCAATATTTATTTCATTATGTTTTACATTTTAGGATGATTTTATGGGTATTTTATGTCAAATTTGTTACTTTTTCAAGTTAAAATGTATAGTCAAGCATATTCCATTTTATTTTCGTGTGTAACTTTTACCATATGAGAGTCAAATATGATGTTAATGTTACATCCAATATTTTTGGATCATTTTAATGGATATTTTATGTTGATTTTTGTATATTTTCTGATTGAATCTATAGAAGTCCGAGATTACATTCTTGCACTCGATAAGAGTTTGTGAAAATATTATGCTTTTGAATCCATTGTTCTCATCTGAAAGATGAACTTTTTGAAGACTTTCGATTCAAGATCTAAGAACTAAGGAAAAAACAAATCCAACAACTATGCCTTCAAATCTTAAAAATCAAGATTGACATTTTTGACACACTGCCTTGACTCCATTTTGGGCTTCTTGATGGTGGATTGAGGATTTCAGTGATCGACAACGATGGCTAATGGCTAAGAGGAGAAAGAAGAACAAATTATAGTTTTGGAATATGAATTTTTTTTAATGAGATTATAAATAGTAAAGAGAGGATAATAATTTTTTTTAAAAAAATCATATATAGGAAATTAAAATCATATACGACAAATTCTTAAAAGTGTATTAGAATATTTATTTTAGGGGAGTTGATCCTTAAATCACGTACCAAAATACTTAAACTAGAATCAATATAATATACTGGCTATATAAATCAATCATAATCATTGTCTATTTTCGATGTAGAATTAAATGAATTGTTATGTTATCCCCCACTCAATTAGTTTGCCCTCGTCCATACCCAATATAATTCTGATCGAACCCTAGCATAGTACATGTGAGGCTTAACTTAATGGTAGTTTGTGATGAGTTCTCTGACTCTATTCATGGGTAGTCCTTTTCTACTCAAACCTTCTTACCCTGTCCAAATATTAGATCGACTGAAATATTAAATATCTAAAAAAAATCTTAACCAAAAAAAATAATAATAAATAATAAAAACGAAATCTCGACACCCACGAGAGCGGCATAAACCCTACACACCGCTTCCGCTATCCTCTTGGCCGAAGTGTCATGATGGCTCCCGCGTCGCGGCTCCTCCACCTGAGCTCCTCTCCCCTCATCCGTAGTTGCAGGTTCGGTGCCCGCTCCATCTCTCCTTCTCTTCTCCTCCCCTCCCCCTACTACCACCGCCGCTTCCCTTTCTTCCTCCCCCTCGCGCAACCCCCCTCCCTGCGATCCCACGCCACCTGCTCCGCCGCGGCCATCGCGGCCGACGGCCCCGTTGCGAGCGTCGATGAGCCGCCCGCTTCCTCCCATCCGTGGCCCGAGTGGGACCGGTTCCTCGACAAGTTGAGGGGAAAGGGTTACTTTGCGGTGCCCACCTCCACGATTCCGGCTGGAAGCGTGGAGGGTGAGGGCGCAAGCGTGTCGTCGGAGCACGATGACGCGTCCGTGGAGCTCAACCGCGTGAAGAATGCTTGCCTCAAGTTCTCTCGCGAGCGGTTCGACATCTTCAGGTCCTTTTTCTTTTCTTCAACAGCAGAATCCTTCTTTTCCCCGTTTCCCTAAACAGCTAGCTTGGATATTGATGAATAGCATAATCTTGAGTATCTACGAGTTGAATATGAATGTGATTTTGGTGTGTGATATTGTTTGTTGATTTTCTATTGTAATTTCTCGTACTTGTGCTTAATATCAAGGCCATGATTTTGTTGGTTAAAATATGAGTTATGATTTGGTCATCGATTGGGAATTGGTTCTTACTGACTTGTAGGAGAGAATTAATACTTAAGATGTTGTTCTTTCTGGTCTTTATAAAGTTCCAATCAGTGAACCTAAACCTCTCAGTTGTTAGACCAATGATGTGAGAAGTGAGGAATCTATTAAAGGAATAAAGTGACAAGATGAATTGTTAGTGATGATTCAATCGGTTGATATTTCCAGTTGGTATTCAATACATCGACTAGATCTTATAACACTTCTATTGATAGCAAAGAACCTTCCATCCATATTCACTAACTGGTGCACCTCTGCCTAGCTTGATCTTGGTGCTTTTCATAATCCGTAAATAGCTTCTCAATATTTCCTTTAGTGTGCTGATCATGTATTTAACTTCCTACCGATTGATTGCATCCTTCTTCTTGACAATAATCGAGTTTGCTTTAAGTTATTTTACCAAGAACTTAATTAAATTATCGTATCTCTTGGGTTCTGCTCTCATTTGATCTCTCTGTGTGAACCTGCATTCTCCTTGTTGAGGCCACCATTACCTATTGACATTAATATTGTGAATTAAGATAAGATGTTCTGATTTTGTTGCATCATGCTCTATGAGATATCTTGAAGTTCTTGAATTCGATAACAGAGTGAAAAGACTGATTGTATACTTAGTCAACCGATGTTGGGATTCACCAGGGACACTTTAGTAGGAAATGAAGTGACAAATACACCCCATTGCCAAATAGTCTATGCCAAAAAGCCTTCTTAGACTAAGATCGGTATCTTTTTGAATTCTTGTTGAAACTTTATAGCAAGATTCGCTGTACCGCGATATACGGCCCGGTACGGATGGTACATATCAGTCTGATAGGAGATCGGTATGTGCAGTATATACTGATCTATCGGTATGTCCTATCATACCAGGGACACTTTAGTAGGAAATGAAGTGACAAATACACCCCATTGCCAAATAGTCTATGCCAAAAAGCCTTCTTAGACTAAGATCGGTATCTTTTTGAATTCTTGTTGAAACTTTATAGCAAGATTCGCTGTACCGTGATATATCGCCCGGTACGGATGGTACATATCAGTCTAATAGGAGATCGGTATGTGCAGTATATACTGATCTATCGGTATGCCCTATCATACCATGTGTCGGTATGTATGTACATACTGTATCGACAGTCGGTTGGTACATCAGTGCGGACTAATAAAGCGAACCATGCTTTATAGAATAAGATCTAACAGATTAAAGGGTAGATACAGGCAGTTCTCTTTCTCATTAAACTTAATTCACATGTTTATCTACTGAACTCACACATTTTGTATCAGCATAAAGAATAGAATTCTTACTTGGATTGGAAGGTCCGAAATTAAGTATAAGAAGGCTTCTTCTTACCACTGTAACCATTATCTTTCCCACTTCCTAATAAACAACAACAGGTTTTTTTTCATATCTTGGCTGGTATGATCTTAACATACATGTGTGTTTTGTTTTCATAAACACTGATAGGATAGCTAAAGACTTATGATTTATCATCAAACTTGTTGGTCCCTTCCTCTCACTTTTGTGCACTGCAGGCCATCTCTGGTGTATCCTGCATCATATGCTGTACTGGTACACGGTGTAATTTAGTCCTTTGATTGTGTAGTTGCAATAATAATATACATACAAAGTGTGATAAGAACGTGCCTAGCACCTTCTAGATAGGCACAATAAACAGGTTTCATGCCATTGTGAGGGTGTAACAATATTTGTGGGCTCTTGCAGAGAGCTTCTGCAGGCTCACAAATCCCATGCTGATTGGTCTCCTTTTGGAAGTATCATGCTCATACTTGATTGCACTTGTGCCAATAAATTTTTAAAATTGGATAAGCATATTGCGTTTCCAAGGTGTGCCTTTGTGTGTTTATGGCTTTTAACTACTAAAGATCTTTTTATGCTGAACTTACAATAAGATCAACTGCATTTTCATGTTGATGTTTTTTTTTTCTAAGTTTTGTTTGATCACTTAATGGTGCAGCTCTCTTCCCAGAGAAGATATTCAGGCTGTTGTTGAGTATGGGTGCCCTAATGTGTTCCGGAAAGCTGTCAACTCAGCAAAAAGGTTGAGAGCTTATCTGCAGCTTGATGAAGGAGATGTATGTCTATCTATCGACACGGTCACTGCAGTAATTCAGAAAATCTAATGAGGGATGAAATTTGGAAAGATATCTATTGTTGACCAACCTTTGCTGAAGTATTAATGTTTGATGATGAATGCAGAATTTAAATTATATTTAGTCAAGAAATAAGACTAGATACCAAACCATTTACTAGTCCAACTGAAGTAACATGGCTTTGATACAAATGTCATTTGAAATTCAGGTTTGCGGTGCCTGCAATCTAAGAGGAGCATGTGACAAGGCATACATAATACCAAAGGAAGATGAGGGACCCCGCACAGTGGATATAATGCGTATTTTGTTGAGCTATGCAGTAAATCTGAAGCAGCTTTCTGGGGGGGCAAATTCTGCTGTCAAAGAGCAAGTTCAAAAATCTGCTCGAAATTTACTCTCTGAGCTAATTAAGCTCAGTGATACAATCATCGATCCAACTGTACCCGGGCCTGTAATGAAGTCTCCTAGTCCAAAAGAACCATCTCAGAAGGTCAGAAGCGGTAAGGATAGCAGAGCATCTAATGTTGAAATGAAGAGAGGTGACTGGCTGTGTCCAAAGTAAGTTCGTCGTACTGAAAACTCTTACATCTTTGATGTCATATTTGATCTTAATTTAGTTTTGATTGAACTGGCCATTGAAATCCTGGTTATTTAGGTGTCTGACAGGAGTGTAGTTAGCAGATATCTGTGGTGTTCTAAGCAAGAAGTTGATTCGGGTGCATTACCTTTTTTGCTTTGTGTTGTCTATTTACCTTCATAAAAGTAACCACTGTTCGGAGTTTTGTGTTTCATCTTGTTGAGCAGACAAGGTGACCAGAACAGACAAGATTGTATGGTATTAACAAAGGATAGTGTGATAAATATTAGAGGCTTTTCCACAAAATGAAGAACCAATAAAATGTCACTATGCTATGTGTAATAAAGATTTTTTAAGATAGTGGCGATTTTCCATAGAGGAAGGCTTGTGAGAGCACGGAGGGCAGCGTTGGAATTTCAAAAGTGGGTTTGCAGTTGTAGCATATAGTTATTTCCACTAATTACTGCTACTATTCTGAAAAGAATCACTACCTGGCATAGCAAAGGGTATATTAAATAATCATGTCAACGCTGACTCAGTGAAATGAGCACTCTCATTTTAGTCAAGACCACAAAGTGAACTAACCTCTTTAATTGGAACTGGCTGGTTGACTTCTCTTACTTAACCAGGAATATTGCTTTCCAGAGTTCATGGGAAAAGATCCATATAGTTGGAACATTATGACTTCTACTTTAGGTTGGTTGACTTCTTCGTAATTTTTTTAGGGAAAAAAAGTATTGATTGACTTATCCATAGCTCATATGCTCAACCAGACCTTGTAAATTCATGTCCAGTTTGTTTTCTGTTCCCCAGTCCTGTCATGTTTTGCCAGCTGACTCCAACAACATTAGTGAGAAAGGATATGATGACTCTTGGAACTTTTGGAGGTACATTTTTAAATGGAGGGCAAGCGTTCGTGTATTGGTTTCAAAATAGTGTAATAGGTATCGTTCATTCTGTTGCTGATAAGCATTCTGTTATTGGTACAATGTGATGTTGCAACAACAAAATGAGTTCTTTAGAATATTCCGTCCGAATTTGTTAATAAGCAAATCGATCTGAAAAGTTCTGATGCATCTCTCTCATGCAGCTGCAACTTCCTCAATTTCGCTCGAAATCTTCGCTGTCTGGAGTGCAAAGAAGATGGGCCAAAGAAAGTACACTTGGGCAGTGCTGAAATGAAAGTAGGAGATTGGACTTGTCCAGAGTAATAGTCCTTTTGAAGTTTTGTTTCCCTTTCTTTTAACTGGAATCAGCATTGTGACATCCTGACACAATTCGACAAATTCTTATGCGGGCTGGCAGGTGTGAGTTTATGAACTTTGCTCGCAACAGGGAGTGCTTTCGTTGCCAGGGAGCGCGACCAAAGAGAGTGTTAAATCCAGGAGAGTGGGAATGCCCCTTGTGAGTCTCTTGCATCCATCCAGATGTTTACCTTTTGCCTTTCAAATTTCTCTCTTCTTATATGAGAATAACCTACCATCAATTGCTGACCCAACAGTTTTTGTTTAGATGTTATTACCTGAACTTCAGGAGAAACAGGGTGTGCAAAAAATGCGATGGGGACCGCCCTGTAGATGAAGGCAATCAGCTTGAAGACCATTCATGGAGGTCACCGAAAGATTCAAAGAAAAACAACCCCATAAAATTTGGAGACAGATAATGGTGAAGTCGTCGATCATGATGACGGCACATTGCCCTATCGGGAGAAAATAAATTTTTAGTGAGCAAAAGGGCAACACCAGGTAAGAAGAGATTTACCTCTGTGAGAAACCGAAGCTATCAATAGGCTGATCAATGTATGTATCATGATAGTGCCACATCTAAATTGTTGCTAGAAGTATATTATTTGGAGAACTTTCTCTCATACTACATTTATTTTGAAATTCAAATGTAGGTTTGGCCAGTAGAAAGTATTTTGACCTTTTTTTCATTTTCCCTCTCATTTTGGAAGCTGGAGAAGTGGAGGAAAAGGATTAGAGTAAATCCATTGCATTACCACATGACATTATCCTCGTCTCCACTAGCAGAACGAAGACTCTATTTGATGACTAAATTGTTTCTCATGCTATGCTATGTATCACTTGGTTTCATGCGTCTTGTTATTATCAGGTGGCAGCCATTCATGTCGGACCAGTGGAGACGATGATCGCGAGACTCCCTCCTGGGATCGAGGTGAGTGCCCCTTTCCTCAACCATCGCTGCTGCTTGAAAGATCCAACAACCGATAAAGAGCGGTGGTAGCATCCATAATTATGCGACCATTGATCGGTTTGTTCCTTTTGTAAGAAAAATGAAACGAACAGATTGATCCGGTCAAATCAAATCTGCCTAATTTTGAAAATAGTTGTTAATATTATGTAAGTATCATCCATTTAATCCTTTTTTTTTATTGTTTATTCTTAAAGATGCTTAATGCCAACTTTAAATCAGGGTTAAGGGGAGACGAAAGGAGCCGATCACTTCTCTTCTTCTCCGTTAGTCTTTCTTCTCCACCTCCTTTTTCTCCCCCTCGCTCGTCTCCTATATCGTCTTTCTCTGTCTCATTTTTCTCCGACTACCCATTTTCTTTAGTCTTTCATCATCTTCTATCCACTTATTTTTCCTTTGACAACTCTTGTAGCACCGACCACTACGATCATGTGTCTCTTCCGTCCATTGCTCTTCCTTCAATTATCGGCCAACAACTTAGGAGAACATGTGGTCCAATCAATCCACGGCCCGACCGAGTCACTCTCCGATTCGATCGAGTCGCCGTCTAGTCGCTCGGCTCTTTATGAGGGTAAATTGACACCATCAGCCGACAACCCCACTCATAATTTTGGAACAGCCGACAACTGAGGGCTTTCGTTGGCCCGATATGTTCTTCGGCATAGGGCTACACCGCACTGCACGGCCCAAGACAGACGGAGGGAACTGAAACAGAGACAGTGCAGAAAAAGAAGACGAGAATTCAGATGCCGCTCGTATCTAATGGCGCTGAAGGTACGCGATCTATTCGTCAACAGCTCTTCTCCACTTTGTTATCTCGCGATCGTTCATCTACTGCGGAAAGGCGAAAATTTTCGATGAATTTTTCTATACTTGCGCAGGTATCGGTCATCTTCCTCGACGAGGTAAGCGAAAGCTTCCATCAACGTTCACGTTTGGGAAATTTTATATGTTGTATTGCTCTTCTTCCGTTTCTTTTACTTCTGGTTGGTTGATCTTAGGGTCTTGTTGGTTGATGCAGTGTCCCGTTTCAGATGCTTTATTAATGCGCGTGCGGCCATCATCGGGTATGCTCGTTGTCCAACTTGGTGAACTTTTCATGTTTCTGCTACACTTGATCAGAATTTGCCACAGCTTAGTTAGAGTGTGCAATTAGCCATATTACAGATCACATTCTTTATTTACAATTTGGCTTGAGAACCTGCTGATCAGTATCACCGATTCCTATTTTGGTTATAGAATCGGAGAACTAAGGCATAATGAACAGTGAAGGATGGTTCCTCCTTCAGAAACCTCTTTCGAGGTCTGCCCGTAAGACCATACTGGCCCAACCCAAAGCGTACAATTCCTCATGGCTTAGAGAGTTCGCACCAGTGTGGATCTTGTTCCTATGTCAAGTTTAGCTTCTTTCAGAGTTCGCACCAGACTTGCTTCTTGCATGAAAGAATTGTGTAGCTTCTTTCAGAGCTTGAGCCCTCAACCGACCAATCATTTCCCAAATGCAAGTTGCCAATGAGTAACATGTCAAAATCTTATACTTTCCATGACCAAATCCAAAAAGTCAGTTACTATTGACATACCTTGCCATCTTTGGCTATTATTGAATTTTGGAAAATTATAAGACTCATCCGCACCAGATTATCGAGCATCTTCCGAGTGCACGGGACACCTGTTCTTGATTGAGGCCCTCCCTGGATTTTCTTTTAAACTACTATTGCTTGGAAGAGAGGGATTCTATGCAAACACAGGAAATTTATTCTGTGAGAGAATTTATAATTAAACAAAAGAAACAGTAAATTACTTTTTTACTTGCAATGTGTATGCGCAATATACTAAGTTTCAAGTGTGATTCACTCGTCAGAATGGTATGCTGTACTGGTGCCATCCAGTATGGAATAAAACTGAAATTGACATCTTCAAGTGCCGTAGATAGACTTGATACAACTCTTTTGCCCCTTGTATTTGACCTTTTTTTCTTGTATTGTCCATTTGACAAGTTCCTTTTGATAGTTATGATTGTTATATCTTTATGAAACCTCATCTTTTGGTCTTTATAAATGAGCGTGAGTCTTGGTTTAGCTGATCATGTATAAAGCCTCTCCATGATCTTCTATGATACCAAACAATCAAGACCTTGATCAAATGACACCTTGAACAAATGATGAACCATACATAGAAAATTACAAAATGGACTTCAAGTACAAATGCTACAATTCCTTTCTGTAACTGTGAAAAATAGTGATTTTGAACTTTACAGTTGAACACAGTTATTTACCATGTGTTGCCTGTCAAACACATCATGCAGAAGGCTCTGGATTGTGCCACAATTTGAATATGCACATTCTGACTGCAGAAATTTGAGTTCTGCAGTTGAAAGACAAACCAGACTGACATTCTTGTTACAGTTGCTCATAGCTTGAAATATCCAAATGTGAGTTAGATCAGAAACTGTTTCATTTTCCAGGTTGACAAAATGAAAGAGAAACTAAGTTGTGCTGTGGAGGTGTTTTGGTAAAACCGGAAAACAACTAGGTTAACTGAAGAAACCTATGAAGATCAGCCAGTAGAGAACTAAATGCCGTAACTGCAACCAATCACACCTTTATTTTTGCATAAGATGACATACATGAGCAAAATTTTACTGCAATTCACAGACTCTCAGCTTGATTTTTCTACAATCCACACCCACTCTAGATTTCAGTTGCCACTAAAACAAAGTCAAAGATGGAGTTTACATTCTCAGATTGTCCAAAGAAAAGAGCCTACTACTTAAATTTTATTTAAAGCTCATTTCTTGTCCTTCAAACCCAAGTGCTTGCACCTAAAGTCCTCTTCGGGTCCTCACTGAGATGGGTTTTTTTCCTGAACTCAAATTCAATGGGCGCATTGTACTTGAGGAATCCAGGTAAGTTTTCTCTGCATTGTTATACGTTGAATAATTGCTCTCAGTTCCTGATCTTGATCCCACTTTGTGCGTCTCTTCATGCAATGAATTGTTGTTCATTTCACTGTTTCTTGTTTCATTTCTTCTGTAGTATATTTGATGCTTGCCAGGTTTGCTGTCATCCAAGGATGCATCAAACTGCCGCTGTGCTTGGACAACATAGCCGATTCTTCCTGCTGGACTCAGTTCTTCATGGCTTGCATATGGTAAATTCGTTCCTAAACCCCTATCCTTCTCTTCCTCATTGTCACTTTCATCAAACAAAATATTCTTTCCTCTGAATCCTGCTGAGTGCTGCTCACTCGAACCTGCATTATCTTCGTCACTGGCATCTGAGATCGACGAAGATGATCTCTGTAGCTGCATCTCGAACCTCTCCCTGATTCTTTCCTTGTGAAGCAAATCATCCTGTTTTGCTTTCATTCCCTCATCTGAATCCGAGCCAGAGTTCTGATCATGGTGGATCTTCTCAAAGTTTTTGCTGTCAGCAGAATTCTCAATCTCAACACTCTCGGATCCGTTGATATCACTTCTCTTCTGGCTACCAGCTTTACTCTCATCAGCAGAGCCTTTTTCTTGGGACTCCGATCGACAGAGTTCCACTGCAGCCCTTGCAGCTGCCGCAGCAAAAGCAGCTGACTCAAAGGCAGCCTGTGCTGCACTGGCCACATCATCATACTTCTGATGGCTCCTAAATGCAGGATTATCATCCGATTCAAGTTGCTCCAGGTTGAGATGAGTTGGTGGGCTGACCATCGAATTCCCCTGAATCAAAGGTGCCATTTTTTTTTTAGTTCGCTTCATTTTGTGCACTCGACACAAAACAAGAATACAAACCTCTGCAGTTTCAGAAGACTCGGAGAATTCCAGCTTGATGCCTATCTCAGCGGCAATCTCCTTTATCACCCTGTGCCTAATTTCCAAGCTTGGTTGCCTGGTTGACAGTTTCTGAATCATCTGCAGGAGATCCAAAAGCAACAAGATGAGATGGGACTGCACAACACCTGAAGAAGTGCGAAGTGTTTGAACCAGAGCTACCTTAGGATCGACACAGCAATTGTTTCGCAGCTCGACGGCAGCAGACACGAGTTCCTTCCCATACCTGGAGGAGAAGATGCCACGGGCCTTATCGAGCTCCGGCAGTTCCGCGCATCTCGACGCGGCGAAGACCAGGCTCGAGATCGCCTCCCGCAGCTCCTCCGGGCACTCCCTGCAGGACATATAGAACCACCTCAACGAAGAATATGGTTTGATCAGCGAGCTGAGATGTAGAGAACACTCACTTGCGATCCAGGAGCGGGGCCCTCTCTGTGAGAAGATGGCAGTAGTGTTCTATCATCACGAACACATCCAACATGTTCTGCTCCTTGATCACATGCTCCACCTGGGACGACAGCAGTGTACGATTACAAAGCAATCAAAAGGGGAGGGGAGGGAACAGGTGTTTGGTTGCGTACTCGGAGGAGGGCGCGGTCGACATGGCCGAGCTGGAGGAGCTGGACGACGTCGCCGCGCGCCTGGTCCCGCCGGACCTGCCGGTGGTTGCGGAGGACGGCGAGGCGGGAGACGGTGAGACCCAGGAAGGTCTTCAGCTTGGACGTCTGCCTCGATGTCCTCCCGAGAAGAATGTCCAGCTTCCTTCCCATCTCGTTGCTTGTCCTCCTCGGCTGGCCAAAGAGGTGACGGGTCGGTTTTGGCCTTCTTGGTTGCGTCTCAGTATATGAACGACGCAGTGATTAAGCTCTTTTCATGTGGAAGGGCGCAAATGGAGATGGGATGACTAAGAGCGATTGCTTTAGGTGGAAGGCTTCGGGATCACGCGGTGGCGAAGGTGAGAGGTCGGCGGCAGAGTGCAGCGTTGCAAGCTGGCTTCGTCTGGATGCGATAAGGTAATTCCACCAGAACCTGCATTTTATCGCAATCATTTATCTAATTTATCGATTTTTATTTAAATTATACCTGCGAGTAATACTGCTTTGTTAGAATTAATTATTACAATAATTTTTATTCAAAATAGTCATAGGTAAAACAAAGAAAAACATAAAAGACAATGACCGCTTGTCGCCACAAGGATGGTATGGCCCAACCATCGGTATATATATATATATATATATATATATATATATATATATAT